ACCATTATTTGACATCCAAATTCTAAAAATGTATATATATTTATTTTGAATATACACATAGCAGATAAAGTCTGCGTTCACTCACAAAATATTTCTTAAATTTCGTATAACTTTTTTAATTTTTACTCAAATTGATTTTTGTTTTCTGATTTATTTTAACCAAAGAAACAACAACAAAGTTCTTTAAAAAAAAGGTTATTCTTTAAAAAGAAAATTAGAATCAATTATATGCAAAAGCAATAAGTTTTAAAGCAGAAAAAGACTCCGTTCACTTCTTAATATTTATTTATTTTTTCTTAAAAACATAGATTTATTTGTTGTATCTTCCCTTACAATGGGACTAACAATAAGTTGTAAAATATTATCACCAATTACACAATATTACAACTTTTATTTTAACTATACATTGCATAATATAAAATAAGTAAACTTTATATCACGAACCTCACTTAGATTGGTGGCATAAATTTCATTGGAATGAGAGTGTGGTGGTTTACTAAGAAATCAATACAACTTTATGAGATTACTAAAAATAAGAGAGGGGAATTTACTTGAATGTTTTCTCTTTTCAGACGGGAAGAAGTGGACTTAAATGCGTTAACATATTCTGTCAGCATTTATTATATTTTTTTCTTATATTGTCAAATGCAGCTAAAGGAATTTGTAGATGTCGGTGGATATTTTCACTCCTAATATACCAAGGGGCTCCAGTGATTAATCTCAGTATTTCTGACTGACCTCTTTGGATAATTTCAATATTTGAAGCACTAGCATTACCAAATACCTGAATATCAAAAGTTCATATTGGTTTTATGATGCAATTACATAAGAGTACTTTACACTTTTGGAACAAGAAGGATCTGTTATTAATGAGCCAGTGCAACTTACATGCTTGGACCTTCAATTGATTTTTTTGGCTTCAATATGTTCGCGTCAAGTTAGTCGTTTGTCTAGGTGAATACCTAAATACGTTATATTATCTGCTTGTGGATTGGGAATGTTATTTAGTAAAATTGTTGGATATGTACTCCGATTTAAAGTGAAAATGGCGTGTCTACATTTTATTTCATTTATTTTAATTCACCATTTTGACAATCATTTCTCCATCCGAAATAAGTGAGATTGAAGTTGGTTTGAAGCGTTTTTATTTCCACATAAAATTGCCGTTTCATCAGCAAACGTTGTAATGACGACTGAGCTACTTATTGTGATATCAGATGTGTAAAGTAGACACAAGATAGGGCTAAGAACACTTCCCAGTGACTTCTTTTAACTTCTTAGTATTTTAATTAAAACAATTTTTTAGAAAAGCAAAATTATTAAACCTTCATATATTTTATAAATTATTTAAGTGTTAAAAAATTTTCTTAAAAAATTTTACAAGTGGAATCTTAGTAAATTTTTACATTTTATAATATGAATTCCATTACTATTGTATAAAGCAAAAGTGTGCGAGCAAATTTTTTGACAAACAAGTTTTGAATAGCGGAGAATATTCTAACAGTGTAAATTACATTATAGTATTTTGGAATTACAAAATTTTGATTTAATTAATTACAAATAAAACTTTGTGTTTGAAACTTTGAATAATATGAGTTTGAGTTGATCGTTCGAAGCGACCGGTTGCATAATACAAAGTGCGGAAAGTAAACAATTAAATTTATTAAATTAAATTGTGGTAAACAACATTTAAAAACCTATTTAGAAACCTAATAATTTTTCGTTTTAAACCGCGTCCATTTAACAATCTAAAAAGATTTTTGTAAAGAATTCGACTACGAAAAATATAATGCTTATTAGAAGAAGCCCTCCATCCAAATCCACCAAATTAATGATCGATACAAAACGTACTATCTCAGAGGTGTCACCTAACAAAGGCGACCTACAATCTGTTGGCAGTATGGATGTGTCGGAGCATTTACAGGACATGCAAAAAACAATGGTGAGCATTCTAGATGAGAAATTGAGGGATATTGCTACTAAATCCGATTTAGAGGCTGTTAACACAAATATAATCAGCCTAAATCGTACAGTCGAAATGCTTTCAGATAAAATAAAACTTTAAAAGAAAAAATAATTAAATTGGAACATGAAAAACAAACCCACCACGAAGAACTGATGCGGATAATTGACGCCAATAAGGAAAACAACCTCAAAACTGTGTGAAGAAACTCTTGGTATAAACATTGTAGTCCGTAAAGCTAGAGTCATATCACAGCGGGAAAATAGAATCAACGTCTTGGCAGTGATGACGTCAGAAGAATCTATTGGCCTAGTTTTCCAAAACATACACAAACTTGCAAACTCTACGATTATGATTGAAAAAGACCTGAACAAAGACAGACAACGGCATAGAAAAGCTCATCTCTTAATAAGGAAAAAACTTTTCTCAATAGATCGTTCGCACAAGGTGCTCGTTCGAGATGATAGAAAACGTATTGGAAACAAGTGGTGCAAATGGAGCAAAAATGGAATCCTAAAGTGTGGCAATGAGGAGGCGACTACTATTCTCCAATCTATATATGGAAACAAACTTGAAAACCTTAATCTTAACTTATTAAGCATCATAAGTGAGCTAGATCAAAACAACCATATGGCAAAAAACTAAAGAACGAATACAGCACATTAATAACAACTACAGATGACGCTCCATCAACATCACGAAATACGGCATCTACATACAATCTTTTTAAGCTTCAAATAACATTTTGGAATGTACACGGTATTGCAAATCTTTTTAATGAAACAAAAATTGCTGACTCGCAGATCATATCTGTCTATGAAACCTAGTCAACAACACCTCTCAATAGCCTTAGTCCTTGGTGCAACTATGATGCGCTGACAGCCCCAACAACAAGGGAAAAGTCCATTGGTAGAGCTAGCGGTGGTATTGTATCTCTAGTTAAAAAAAATTTAGCAAAAAGTAGCGAAATAAGCAAAACAAATTTGTGGATTGTTAACTTTTATTGTATTAATAATTTTAATTTTATTTTAGGTTCATATTGTACATTAAACCACATTATGATATAAATATTGCTTTAGAATTACTTCAACCATTAATCAATGAAATAATTAAAAAATATGCAGGGATCCCCTTAATAATAGGTGGTGACTTCAACGGTAGAGTGGGTGAAGAGGGTGCTCAAGAATTTTTATCTGAAATTAGTTCGATTTTCATATCTAAAAGAAACTCTCTCGATTTAATCTTGAATAGGCGTGGTAAAAATATATTAGAATTCATAGAAAATAATGGCTTTATCTTGCTTAACGGTTGCACAGATGGTGACATCCCAGCAAGTTTTACATTCTCAAACAAAAATGGTAACTGTGTTATTGATTTAATCTTGGTCAACGTTGCTGCAAATCCATTTATAAAAAGCCTAGGAGTACAAGCACTTGCTTCTGGTTCAGACCATTTCCCAGTAACCTTAAAACTTGAATTCCCTACCGGCACTAGCAATATAAATTGTACAAATGTAACTTCTTGTAAACGAACCAGATTAAAATGGGATATAAATAAGTCTGATATTTTTACAATGCACAGAACCACTGTCTTGAATCATTGACATGAATCATCACTTCTCTTCAGAAATGGTTATTGCTAAGTCCTTTATGCCTCTTTACTATACTTCTAAGCCATGGTTTGACTCAGAGCTACGGGCCTCAAAGAAAAATCTAAATCATGCCCTAAAAAAGTACAAGCGACAAAGCTTTTCATCTGAAACTAAAACAGTATACATAGATTTAAAAGCTAATTACAAAAAAATGCTGTCTGGAAAAAGAACGGAACATGAAATTAAGATCAAAAACAAGTTCTTTAACATAAAAAGTCCGAAAGACTTTTGGAATCTTATTAATCGTACAATCGAAAATCTTTTGTCAACAACCCTATACCAAATTCTGTTTGGCAAAGCTTCTACGAGCAAATTTATCCACCTCGTCCTACCACTTAACTTATACTGTTTGAAAACTTTATCGAAGCACTGGATTCGGAAATAACAATAATTGAAATAAAATCAGCAATAAATAAAATCAAAATTAATAAGGCTCCAGGCGAAGATGCGATTACGGCAGAGTTCTTTAAGAATTTATCTAGTCAATGGATTTATATCCTACAGTCTCTTAACTGGAAGCACACCAGCTTCTTGGTCACAGTCCGTACTTATTATGTTACACAAAAAAGGTGAAATAAACTCACCCGAAAATTATAGAGGCATTGCTCTATGCAATATTACCTTAACAATTTTTACCCATATTCTGCATGATCGCCTCTTGCCATGGGCGAAACAACATAATAAAATTCCTGAGTCGCAAAATGGGTTTAGTAAAAATAGATCATGTATTGATATTTTTACTCTTCAAACAGCAATTCAAATACATCTACGTCTAAAAAGCAACTCTGCTTACGGACTTTTTATTGATTTCAAAAGGGCATTTGATTCTATTGACCAGATGCTGCTCTGGCAAAAACTTCATTCGCAAGGTATAAGTTCGCGCTTAATTAAAATTCTCCAGTCTATTTACGATAAGGCTTTCTTCGTGATCAAACTGCAACAAAAAAACTCCCATCCTATCTCTGTTACCGAAGGCGTTCTCCAAGGGGAAATTCTCAGCCCTCTCCTTTTCATATTGTTTATTGCTGATCTTGAGAAAGAATTAAGGAATTCAAATATTGAAGGGATCAATATTAATGGTCCACATGATATTTTGATGCTGCTTTTTGCAGATGACGCCGTTGTTCTAGCCAGGTCCCCTATTACTTTACGAAAAAATCTATTAGCACTTGAAAGCTACTGCGAAGAAAACAAATTTGTTGTAAATACGAAAACAACCCAAATTGTCCACTTTAGAAGAGGGGGTAGGCCAATAGCAGAAAATTTCTTTTACAAATGTCAAAAAATTTCTGTCGTGAAGTTCTACACATATGGTACTTAGGAGTAAATTTCTCAAAGTTCACATTAGGCAAATGTGCAGTAGAAACTGCTATAAGAAAAGGGAAAATGGCGCTCGGTACGGCAGTACAAACTGTTAGTAAATTTAAATCAGATTCTTGGGAAGGTCGGGCTAAACTATTCGACTGCACTGTATCTGTAATACTTTTATATGCATCAGAAGTGTGGGGTCTACGTTACTGTGATTCACTTGAAATCGTTCAATCAACGTACTACAAACGTTTGTTAGCACTCCCCCAAGCTACAAACAATGCAGCACTTAGACTAGGTCTTGGTCTTGTAACTAGGTCTTGTAAATATTTCATACAGAGTTTTCAAACGCGCAATCGATTTCATTATACGAATTCTTTAAATGGACCAATCAAGATACCTCAAACAACGTCTCCTTCGTCTCATTTACCTATACGTAAATAATTCTTCTACAAGTGAATTAAATTGGGTTACATAATTTAATAAGTTTCTTGAAGTAAGTTAATAATAAGTTTCTAAATAGACAAACTTGTGGGAAACACCGACTGCAGCAACTTGGATTGATAACTGAACTACGGCTCTTGAACGCTATCATAGATATCTAAAATTCAAAGACATTTTAAAATCCACCAACTCACAATCCATGAATTGCAATATATTAAGAGTCCTGGATGACAAACCTGCCTGTTACCTCTTTGATCGTAACTCACTGCACTCGTTTTTGTATTAACGGGCAAATTCACAGACTCGAAATCAACAACCTTTGTACACTTTGTAATTCACAAACTGAAGAAACGTTGAATCACTTTATGTTTGAGTGCCCTATTTACTCCTCAGTACGACATCACCATCTTCGTTTCTTACTTACGGTCTTCAGAGAAAATAAATCTCTAATTTTCAACTGCACTGATCCGCAATCATCTAAAGCAATATTCACATATATAATAAATAGTCTTAAAATCAGATCATTTATTATAAACGCATAAGATTTTGCAAAAAAAGATATATATACATATATAATTATAATTATTTCCCCACTATTTATAAAACTTTTTTTGTTTTTTTATCGCTTACTTTTTAAACCTAATTAGTAATAAGTTTAATTTAATTAATAATAAGTATACATCAAACCTCCTTCTGTTACAACTATAAGTTCAGAAGCAGAAGTAAATAAATGTTGAATTGAATTGAAAATTGAAATTAAAACAATTAAAATTCATAGAAATTTACAACTAGTAGCCTGTGGAAAAACCTGTGTTTAATAACCTCTTTTAGGCGTTTTTATATAGACTCAACCATCTCTGCAATATCCTGTGCGTTTATTTTTAGCCATTCTTCCTTGATGACGTTTCTTAAGATATTCTTGCTGGGAATCGTGTGATGGCGAATCTTCTTTTCCAAATGAACCTACAGATGTTCTATGGGACTAAGGTCTGGTGATTTTGATGATGTCTGAATTTGCTTGAGACCATAATACAGCAGACAAATACGTAGGATTGCTGCTGCACTCTATACGTGCAGTTGTTGTTCTGCTGAAAGAAAAAGATTGCCTCAAGTCCTAACATTCATTCATTTTCTATCAAATTTCTTTTTAATATATTTAGATACCAAAATTTTTTTTTATTGTATCTTGTATTAATTTAAATTTATCGACACCAACATCACTATATACCAACATCACTGTATTTCACCGTTGAAATTAAGTTTTGTTTATCATAGGCTGTACATGATTTTCTCCACACAAGTTTTCTATATTTGATTCCAAATATGCGGAATTTACTCTCATTGAAGAAAATAACTATTTTCAGAACTCTATAGGTTTATTTACATGCTCACTTGCAAAACTTAATCATTTTAGTTTATTATATCGGGATATATATGGCTTCTTTCTTGCAACTTGGGTATAATACTTTCTTTTCTTCAAAATTTTCCGCACAGTATCAGTATTCAGCAATATGTTCAGCGAGTTTGGAAGCTGTTACTCTTGGATTAACTTTCACTTGGTTGATAATGCTGCGTCTTCCCTATCTGACAGAATTGAGAGGGCGATTAATGCGAGGTTTCGAAACGTAATTACCCGTCTCCTCGAAGTTATTTATAACTTTTTCACAGATGAATATTGACGATCAATATCTTTACCAATTTTTCGTAGGTTGACGTCATCTTTTCAAAATTTAACAGTTAAATATTGCTCTCTAATACTTATTTCACGTCTTTTATTTTCCATTGTAAAAATTTACTATTAATGTAAAAATTTTTTTTAAATGATCAATTCTTATACTCTTTAGGAAGTCAACTAATAATTAAATATCATTTAATTACATAATTATGCTTACAAGCGAATTGAAATTTAAATAAGTAAATGTAAATATTAAGAAGTGACCGCAGACTTTTTCTGTTTTAGAATTTGTTGCTTGTACATATGATTGTGTTTCATTTTTTTTTTAAAGAATAACTGTTATTTTTTTATGTTACAACTTTATTGTTGTTTCTTTGGTTAATATAAATCAGAGAACAAAAATTAATGTTAGTAAAAATTAAATCGTGTTAAAATCTTGTTTCATCGTTATTTAGAATGCAAGAATTGGCATTTCTAGAACTTAGGTAGGAAACTTAAAGAATATTTAGATTTATATATTTTTCTTTTAAGAAGGTTTTTGTAGAGGATCAATTATTTCTTAATACATACAATTTATTTTGAATAAAATGAATTATTAAGCGATCGTATAACTGTTTTTAATATTGCTATATTTTTGACATCTGAGGTCTTTAAAAATATTTAAAGGTTTTATAGACTATAATATATCATTTTTCGGAGTGGTACAATTTATACAATATCTACTTAAAGCTTATTTTTATTTATTAATTTTTTGAACATTCTTCGATTTTTTGATTCAAATATTACTTAAAAATTAACAATACATTCTGTTGAATATAATTTGAAAATTAACCATTATATGTTTTATTTGTTACAAGCTCAGATAGGTGTTTAGGTTTATTGCGGATGATAGTTGCCATCTATCTATTTCTGAAATGACTAGCGTAAGACTATGTGAGATACTACATTGTAAGATTATGCCGTTTTACATTATGCATTAGAGATGATTTTGACATTTCTCTTGTTTTGTTTTATTTCGTGTTTGATAACAATTTTGTACAAAAATATTGTAATATAAATTTAATTATTTGGTTCTAATATAAACACAGCAAGTAAAATTGCTAATAAAAAGTTTCATAGCAAAAGTAACAAAACTCCAGAAAAATATGCGAACATAATAAGTCAAGTACGGGTTTGGATCAGTTGGTTAATGTGCGCTGATTCTGAGCTTCACATTTGGCAAGAATACAAGAATTATTTCCAAGAGTATTTGGCAATACTCGAAACAGCTATATGGTCAGCCAAAAACTCAATTAATTAAAATAATATAAATAAAAAAATAAAATTTTTGTTGTTGTAGTTCACTACTGTTCGAAAAAACCTCTTTACGACATATAAATTTAATATATAGTTTAATAACAATAATTTAACAAATTTTAGTAATAATTATGTACAAAGCTATTATTAAACAAATTTATTAAAAATTTACTCACTTCGGCATTTTCAAGCTTTCAATGTTTGTTTTGAATAGATTTTGACATTTCTCTTCCAATTCTTCTAAGATCGTAAAACATCTACGATATGAAACCATTTGCAGAGTTGCACAGAAAAATAATCACCATTTGTTAGGAGATAAAAAATCAATCTTCCCCAAAAGGAGATTAACCTTTGTATGGGAAATCTGATATTAAACAAGATTAGTTCTTTAATCGCGATAATTGCTTTATTCTGCTTTTAATCTGACAATGTAAACACCGTATAAGCTATTTGTATAGCTTATTTTGAGATCAGCAAGGTTATCAGCAACCGCATAGAAAAAAACTGGTATAAAAACTGATACATATAAATGTGTGACTATAATTTTTGGGTTAAAAGTCTTAGAAATTGAATTCGTTCATATTAGAACCGTGGATTATTCAAATTTTAAATTTTGGCGAGTTATGTCGCTTGTTATTGATAAAAAACATACGTAATTGCTGTACTCTTGCCACAACAGCTACACATTCTCTACTATTGTCGAAAACATTTTTTATACACATTTAGAAACCTTTAAACAAAAAAACGTTTCATTTTGTAACAGGTTTGAAGAATATTAGCCATTTAAACGAAGACGAACTGTTTTTACAACAGTAGGGATAAAAATTGTACAAAATTAATAATTTACAATAGTTATAGTAAATTTCTATAGTTGATGTTTGTGTAGCCCTAATTATAGCATAGCAAGCACTTTTGTTGTTTACAAATAAGAAATAAAACTTAAAATAACAATAACGTAAACCATGAATTTTTTAACTCTAACCCCAAAATGCTTCAATCTACTATTTACGTGCCTATGTAATATATATATTTAACGCGCACTAATCTAAAATTTATTACAAGGAGTATAAATATGTACATACATAGAAACACACAATAATCTTAAAATCTTGTCCAATGTAAACCAACACACACAATTTTAAGAATTTTGTTTACTTATTGTACAGTAATTATGTTGTGCATACATGTAGGAAACTGTTGTAAAAAACACCAGTAAAATATGAATATTGGTAACAATTTTTATTATAGAATATTATTGTTGATTATTGATTTATTATTTGTCTGTAGGGTACTGTTACATAATCATGAAAATTGTAGTGAACATGCATGCTACAACCATTTACTTGATAAAATATGAAAACATCAATCATAAATCAGCTTATATTTGCAAAAATTAAAAATGCCATAACGGATTAGAATTATTTTTCAAGAGCGCAGAAATAGTATCCAAAAAGAAAAGAAGTAAAATTTTAGCCATAAAAGTAACTGTCTGTGTAATGTTTTTATACTTACTTTAATCGGTGAATTACTTTTATAAAATTATGCTGACCGGTTTAATATGACAACAGTAAAAAATTAAAAGTTATATTCCGCCTCGTCCACGGTGATAAAACCATAAATTAGCAAAATTGGATATAGGAATACACTGATATAAATAAATGCTACTACGCTCTCATCTTTAAACAATTAAACACAGAAGCATAAAATAATTTATATTAAGTTTTCCTAAAATCCGATATTTACTTATTCATTTAATAAAGAAAAATTAACATTAATACTATAATTTTATGCAAGTAAAATACTTCGCGTATTTAGATTACAATTAGATTAGATTAGACATCAGATTTTTTCATTTTATTTAATCAATTTTATTTGTACAAAGACATTAAAATTTAAGACACTTATTTAATTTGGCACAAAGTTTGCTGGTTTAAATCAAGTATGAAATATCTTCTCAATATATCACTTTTACAACTTTAATTGATTACATTGTAAAGACATATAAGAGGAATATGGAAAATATATGATTTGCGCATGTTTATTTAACATTGCATTTTAAGGAATCAAACTTGATATTCTACCTATTCTATTAAGATTACCAAATTTTTTTATGAATGTTATATATTTAAAAATCAAAAATCATTAACTAAACTACTGTTTTCAAATCACATTAGGCCCTTTTATGTTATTTATTTATTTAGCATGCCAAGTGTTTAAAGTGCATATGTATATATTTAAACCACCCCAAAAACCTAACCTCCTGTAAATAGTTAAATACGAAACGAATGATCCGACAGCTGTATCAAGTTTAACAGTTTAGCAAACTAGCATCTCTTGGGACAGGTTAATTTGCTAAAATGTTAAATATTAACTTTGGAATTATTATATGTAGTTAATCACTACGTTTACGCGAGTCTTAAAATCACTTTTAAAACTGATTTTAAAATTTGTTTTTAGAGCGTTTACGCACAAGAATTAAAAGCACTTTTAAGGTAACTGTCAATCAATCAGCTGTTTAACAGCAAACATAAATGTTGATTTTAAACATTTTAAAAATGAATATGGTAAAACTACAAATTGTTTTACTTTTATTGCAATAAAAGATATTATAACCAAAATTGTAGAAAATAATAATAAAGCAACAATGCTGATTTTAATATCATTCCGTAAAATGCGATTGCAGCTCTTTAATAAAATGGCAATACGTTCTGCTAATGAGGCTTTAATGAATGTAAATGTTTTTATAAAGTTTTTCATAAAATATTTAGAATGCATTTTTGTTTTTAGCTTCCACCACGAATAAGCACTTTTAGCAAAAGGAAGAGAAGTTCGGTGTGGTGGGATGTTGAAGTTCTGCAGTTCTATGACGATGAACAATGGATTGCTGATTTTCGAATGAATCGACAAATATTTTTCAGGCTTTTAGATTTGCTTAAGGATAAAATGCACCAGCAGAAAATACTTTCGTTGAAGGGTTGTCTGTTGAAAAGAAAATAGCTATTGCAGTTTACAAACTTGCCTCTTGTGCTGAATACCGTGTAATTGCAAAGGGATTTGGAGTATCAAAAAGTACTGTTTGCTTATGTGTTCACAGTTTCTGTAAAGTTTTAATTGAAAATCAAGTCGGCAAAATATTATCCTGGCCAAATGCATTAGAATGTGAACGCATAGCCTCGAGATTTGAACAAAAATTTAAACTGCCAAATATTATTGGTGTTATAGACGGCACTCATGTGCCAATTAAACCCCCACAAGACGGTGCTGCAGACTTTCGTAACAGAAAGGGTTATAGTTCCATTGCAGTGCAAGCTATTGTGGATGATCAATATTTATTTAAAAATATCACAGCACGAAATCCTGGCTGTGCACACGATGCATCAGTGCTTAGGGGCAGTTCTCTATACAAAAACCATAATACATTAATTCCTGAAAGCCATAGGGAAATCGACGGAATTTACAACGCCTCAAATGAAGCTATGCTTTTTAAACTTCCTTATTATATTATTGGTGATGCAGCTTATCCGCTTTGTAACTGGATTATGAAAAATTATAGGGACGAGTTAACTGTTGCACGAATTGTTGTGGAGCAAGCATTTGGTCGCTTGAAAGGAAGATGGAGAATACTTTATAAGAAGAGCGACCTAGATGTTTACAATATGCCGCATGTGATAATATCGTGCGGAATTCTTCACAATTTTGTGGAGATATCTAAACAACGTTATAATTCCTCGTGGGATGTAGAAAGAATCCACGGTGAAAGTGAATATCCCCAACCTGAACAGATGTACAATCGACAAAATTCGTCGTCCGGACATCTTATGCGAGATCATATATGCGCGTAATTGGCGAGAAAATATCCACTTCTACATAGAAGTAATTAAAAAAATAATGTAGAAAAAATCAATTTTTAATTAATTAATTTATACGTTTATTTATAACTAACAATATAATATATATAATATAATATATTTATAACCATTTAAGCTTAATAATAAATTTAAATAATTGAAAATAATAAATTTAATATTAAATTGAAATATTTTTTCAAATAGAGAATAAAAAATAAAAAGATTTTCAAATAGAGAATAAAAAATAAATAATTTTAATTAATTTAAATTCTGCGTTGCAATTAGACCTCTGATAGCACTTTCAATTGTCTCATTGCTACTACGCACCAAATTTTCATTGTGCTTACGCTGCTCTTCCAGCATTTTCGTTTCCCATTCACGCTGTTTTTCCGCTTCCTCGCTAAAGAATTTTTCTTGGCGGCTAATCATAATTTTGCGTTCGCGAGATCAACTTTCATGAAAGCTGGGCAATGCCTTTGCGTAACTTCCTCTGCCTTTCGATCAATCTAGTCGAATTTGCGTTGTGGTGGTATTCGATGAAGTTGACGTCGAAGGCAAGTCATCTATTCCTAACTCCCAATTCGTTTCATCTGCGTTATTCTGCGGGTTCAAAATGCGGATGTTGAAAGCAAATCAAAGTCTGAATTGTGCTCCTCTGCGTTGTCATTTAAATATTATCATTCCATTCGCCTGCAATTAAAAAAATTAAAGTTCGGTAAGAAGATATTTACTTGTATGATAAATTACCATTTAGGTGTTCAATATCAAGAGTATCGCACCCGTTATTTTCAAGAATTGATGATGGTCTTGAGTCAAGAATTTCGCACATCAATGGATGGTATTCCATGCAACTGTTACCACTACAATTGTAATGTTTTTTTATTTCAGAGTATTGTCTCTTTAATACCTGCCACTTTTGTTTTATTTGCTGTACACTTCTGTACCAGCCACTGATTTCCATTTCTTGGCGAACAATTTCATAAATTGTGTCCTTTCTATATTTTTTGCCGTCTAACAATTTAATTATTTGTTTTTCTGCAAATATTTTAATTAAGCATTCTTCCTCCTCTTTCATCCAATTTTTTCTTTTTATTTCCCTTTTCTCCATATTTTTAGTTAGTGTTATTTGTAATAAAATTCAAATTATTTTCACCTATTCACTGTTAACAGCTGACAATTCAAACCTTAAACTGCTTTTAAGGTGTTTACGCAAAGCATAAAAGTGACATTTCTTACCAAAAGTGATGTTAAACTACTTTTAGTAAGCTAAAAGTGCTTTTAAGCAAAATTCAATTTAGGGTGTTTACGCGATCTTAAAATCGATTTTAAGAGCCTTAAAACAACTTTTAAGGCTCGCGTAAACGTAGTGAATGTTTAACATAAATAATACTGTTAAATATTAACATTTCATAAAAATTATTGACTACACATATGTATAACGTTTGAACTAAGTCTTTGCTGAATTGCAAACCAAATAAAAGCTGTTACAAAAAAATATGTCATGTAAAATATGTCGTTAAAAATTACTGTATGCTCACAGTCTACAATATAAAAAAAATGCATCATTTTGTAACCAGGTTCCCGTGTACATGATTGATTTGCTTGTACTTTGTTTCCTGTAATCTATTAAGTTTGTTTTAATTTTATTGCTGAAAATATTTAAAATGAATATTAGAACATGATATAGACGTTGTTACATATCCAAGTATGTACTTTGCTATACACTAAAGAAGATTTTATTTAGAACAAAAACTTCAATGAGCATGACACAATATAACAAACAAAATTGCACAAGGGGAGTAAAATTATTTTGCGCATTCTAGCTTCGAGCTGTTACCCGATCAATTTCCAGTTATTACAAACTTATTCAAAACACTTAACAACAATTAAAGTACAACGAAACTGACGTCAGAGAAAACCAATTGGCTCAGATATCGTCAATATATTAGTAGTCCCAGCCGCATTGACACAGTTTTAAAATCAGCTGTTAAACACGCTACCCCCATTAACCAGTTAACATTCACTGGATCTACAAGAAAATCTTCAGATGCAATTTAAAATTTCGTCAGAGAAAAATGGCATCTGAAACGAATGTGGCAAAAGCATAGATCTCCTACAAGTTCAAATTCAATTTTTTGGCTTAGCTGCCAAAAACCTGATAAAAGCATTGCTCATAGAGATGGAAAATATTGTACTTACGTATGAAAGTTAACACCTGCAAAAATACGAACTATTCGCTATGACGATCAATAAGTGTTATAGTAAATATAGTAATAATGTAGTAATAATTATAATACTACTAATGTATAACTTTAATTTTATACATATGTGGCAACCCTTAAATATTATGTCATTTAATGTAAATAAATTTTCTTCCTTCTTTAACTTACACCCGAACCGAAAAGACGTGTTTTTTTATCTGCGTACATCAGGTTATGGGCCGCATGTTTAATAAATATTTTTATTAATCCTTACAGATTATATTATCGGTAAATATAAATATTTTATTCTCGCTTTTCGTTGTTTTCGTTAAAAAACATTAAAAAGAAAATTGTAATTGCAATGGGCTTGGACAAGATTACAAAGTTAAAGGGCCGTGAGAATTACGACACCTGGAAATTTGCTGCAAAATCATACTTGGTAATAAAGGGTTACTGGCCATGTATGACGGGTACCGACACGAGCGCTGAAAAAAATTTGCAGCCAATTTCAGCACTTGGCTTATTATTGGAGCCGTGCAACTAATCGTACGTTCAAAATAGTTCGTCTGCTAAGGAAGCGTGGGAAGCGCTTGAAAGAGCATTTAAAGATAATGGAGTTATGCGTCGAATGGATCTTTTAAAATACTTTACTCGGTTAGAGTTCAGTGATTGTTCCAATATGGAAGAGTACGTAAACAAGATGACTAGTACACACCAAAAATTAACTAAATCAGGCACAAATACACCTGATGACATATGTGCACAAATTATGCTGAGTCGCTTGCCAGATGAATACAGACCGATGGTAATGGCGATTGCAAATTGTGGTAAAGTTTTAACTACGGATTTGGTACGTATAAACTTATTGCAAGAAATTGTTAATGAACCTTCGAACAATGAAACTGTTGCACTATTTACAAAAAATGGTAAAAATAAAAAGCAAAACTAAGAAAAAGAAAAACAATAATATAACATACTATGAGTGCAATAAGAAAGGGCACTATGCGAATAAATGTCCATCGAAAAACAAAAACACTTTATTGCTAGCTTCTACATCTCTCATTACTAAAAATAAGAGTGTAAATGGGTGGTTCATAGATTCTGGAGCAACTGCACACATGACTATGTCAAAAAACAATTTAACATATGTAATTAAGCCGCTTCCTGACAAGGTAATCGTGGATGATAATGGACGAGTTGCAGTGGAATGTACAGGTGATATTCACACAAATTTCGTTGAAAACATAAATGTAAAAAGTGTAAAAAAAATGCTACCACTGGTGTAAATTTTTCAAATAAAGCATTTGACAAATGTACTGTTTGTGTAAAAGGAAAAAAACTCGTGCATCTTTTAAAAGCACTGGAACTCGTGCTACTGAATGTTTACAGCAGATTCACACTGACGTTTGTGGTCCGTTGCCAACATAATCATTTGGAGGTGCGCGTTTTATTCTAACTTTTGTTGATGACTTCGGTAGGAAGGTGTTTGTGTATCCAATAAAGGAAAAGAGCGATGTTTTCAGCAATTTTATAAATTTTAAAAATCTTGTGGAAAATCAGCAGAATGGTAAAATAAAAACATTACGATCTGACAATGGTAAAGAATACTGCAATCACCAATTTAATTCTTTTTTTGTTAATCATGGAATTGTACATCAATGTACAGCCCCATATACACCTGAACAGAATGACGTTGTAGAACGTATGAATCGTTCATTGCTGGAAAAAGCTCGATGTATGTTGATAGGCACAAATCTGCAAAAGCAATTTTGGGATGAAGCCGGAAGTACTGCAGCATTTTTAATGAATAGAATTCCCTGTAGAAACAGTAATATAACGTCAGAAGAAATTTGCACCAAAAGAAAACCAGATTTGAGCCATATTAGGTTATTTGGTTGTAAAACCTTACTTTACATTCCCAAGGAACATTGAGGGAAACTCGATGCGAAAGCCACTGAATGTATTTTAATCGGTTACTGTGAAAATTCTAAAGCTTATAGACTCTATGACTTAAACAACAAAAAAGTTATTATAAGCCCACATGTAACGTTTATTGAAACTAATAATAAACATAAAAATATGAATTCTAATTTCATTGATTGCTCTCTTACTCCAGAAAGGCGCTTAAGGTCAATGGTACAAATGAATTCTGAATGTTATGCTTCAGACAATACTGATAGTGAAGACAACGATGATGATATCCAATTTAATGAAACTGTGAAACCACCATATTCTCCAGATACACTAGAAACTAATGTTGAATTAGAATTTCATTTTAATGAAACAAATAATAAACATACTGGATTCAGTGAGGGTGGTACTGATGCTATTGAGAATCCACTATACAATTTATTTGTTGGTGATCTTGAAGTGCAAAGAAGTGAAATATCTGTTCTAAATGCTGCACCCGATAACTTCGATTTATCGACTAAGGCGGAGCATATTGGTCTCTTGGCTGCAATAGCTGATAAATCTGAGCCTTGTAGTGTTAATGAAGCTTTAAATGGAGCCGATAGCAAGAAGTGGACTGAAGCTAAGGATGCAGAAGTGACGGCGCTTAAACAAAATGAAACTTGGGTGTTAACAGACTTGTCACCTGGGCGAAAAGCAATTGATAGCAAATGGGTTTTTAAAATCAAAAGGAACGCAACTGGTGAAGTTGAGCGTTACAAAGCACGCCTTGTAATAAAAGGATATTCTCAAGTAGCAGGAATTGATTATGTTGAGACGTACTCACCGGTAGTACGATATGCATCCATACGCTTGCTCTTGGCGATGGCAGCTAAATATGAC